AACTGACTCATTTGAAAAGACCCTGATGCTGGGAAAGATTGAGGGCAAGAGGAGAAGGAGGCAAAAGAGAGTGAGATGGTTGGATGGCATCACCGACTCAATGGACATGAGTTTGAGTAAACTCCGGGAGTTGATGATGGACAGGAAGGCCTGACATGCTGCTGTCCCTGGGATCCCAAAGAGTCAGACACGACTGAGCGACTGAATTGAACTGAATTATCAAGATCCCTTTAACTTAATCACATCTGCAAAAGCACTTTCATCACATCAGGTAACATACTCCCAAGATCCAGGGACTGGGACGTGGATATCTGCGGCAGTATGTTATTCTCCCTACCACACTACCAGGATAGTACTCAGGTATCAGTTGACACCACTAAATGACCATTTTAAAAGTGAAAATGATCTCAAATTATTGACTCAATCTCCATCTGACAAAACTATTAAATGAGCAAATTTTATAAGATGAATAATGTCTGTGATCTAGTGTAAAACTTGGTGATTGTAGTTAATAACTGCTGTATACCTGAAATTTGCCAAGAGAATAGATCTTCAGTGTTCTTACCAAGAAGAAAAAAGATAAATGTATAAGATGATGGATGTGTTAACTAGATGGAGGAATCCTTTCCAGTGTTATGTGTGTGCATATATTAAATCACCACAGTGTACACTTTAAGTATCTTACAATTTTATATGTCATTTATACATCAGTAAAGCTGAAATTTTACATTAAAAAAAAGAAAGCAAAAGTAAACCCATAGGAAATAATAAAGATAATAGGGAAAATAAAAAATAGGAAACAGGGAATAATAGGGGAAAAAAGAATCATAAAACCGAAAAGTAGTTATTGATTAACACCAATAAAATCAATAAACCTGTGATTTGACTCTTACTGTGATGGTATTTAACGTTAAAACTGGAAGTAAAAGTTTTTAAATTGTGTTGTAGATGTATATTTTGGTCGAATTTAAGTCTAGACTCATCTTTTTATATACTTTCTTCTTGGTTTCAGTGCTAGATCCTGTGGAGTCTTGCTTATACTATTTCAGCTTCTGTGAAACAGTCTTAGAGGAGAGAGCCTTTTTTTTTAATAGATGCTGGGAAGAATTAATACCAATCCATCCATCTGTATCAAATAGCAGCACCTCAAAAGACTGAAGAAACTCTGACTGACTTACATTCTAGTGTTTCTTTTGTTTGACAGATCTCTCAGTGACCCTGTCATTCTTGCATGTTTATCACCGTGATTCTTTTCCAGTCATTTACATCTCCTTTGTAAAAACTTAATCCTTCTCTCACTTGGGTTTTTTTTTTTTTTTCCTGTGTTCTGCCCCTGTTCCTTAAATAAATCGTCAAAATTACCTTGGTTCTCAAAAGGATCTATGGCAGAAAAAAAGGAGAGGATAAGATCCCCATCCTCAAAAACTCTAGACAGAATTCTTGAATATGATATAATCAGAATAATTTATTGTGACTTCTGGGATTTCAAAGCTGTTGTGGGGGGAAAGGGGAAAAATATTGGAGGGGGATGGAGACAGTAATGAGAAGGGATTAGAAGTGGATGTTGAGGATTTCCTTGGTAGTCCAGTGGCTAAGACTGCACCCCCAATGCAGGGGACCTGGGTTCGATTCCTGGTAAGGGAACTGGATCCCACATGCAACAACTAAGAAACTGCATGCCGCAACTAAAGATCACAACTTAGGTTGTTTCCATATCTTAGCTGTTGTATATAATGCTGCATTAAATACAGGGGTGCATATATTTTTTAAATTAGTGTTTCCATATTCTTCAGTTAAATACCCAGAAATGGAATACCTTGGTTGTGTGGTAGTTCAGTTTTTAAATTTGGGGGAATCTCTGTACTATTTCCTATACTAGCTGCAAGAATTTACACTCCAACAAAGGCTCCCTTTTCTCCACATTCTTTCCAACATTTGTTATTTCTTATCTTTTCAATAGTAGCCATTCTGACAGGTATGGTTGCTATCTCCTTGTGATTTGGATTTGCGTTTTCCTGATAATAAGTGATGTAGAACATATTTCATGTGCCTATGGGCCATCTGTATATTATCTTTGGGAAACTGTGTGTTCAGATCCTCTGCCCATTTTTTAAATCAATTTGGTTGGGATTTTGTTGTTGATTTGTATGAGTTCTTTATATATTTTTAATATTAGCCCCTTATTAGATATATGATTTGCAGATACCCTCTCCCTTTTAGTTAGTTGCCTTTTCACTTTGATGATGGTTTCCATTGCTGTGCAGAAGCTTTTTAGTTTGATGTAGCTCCATTTATTTATTAAAACACAGTGATTAAACTTGTCTATATCCCCAATATTTTTCAGAATTTGTATTAGTCATTTCATAAAAAGAGCTCTGAAGGAAAACATTTTCCATCCAGTAATGTAAAAATTTGCAAAAATCTTGAAATCATAGCTATGCTTTCTTTAATTTTACTTATTCTCTGTTTGGGGGCTTCCTGGGTGGTTCAGTGGTAAAGAATCTGCCTGCCAATGCAGGAAACACAAGTTTGATTCCCTGGGTTGGGAACATCCCCTGGAGAAGGAAATAGCAACGCACTCCAGTATTCTTGCCTGGAAAATCCCATGGAAGTCTGATTTCTCTGTGGGGTCACAAAAGAGTTGGACACGACTTAAGACACTAAACAACAACAACATTCTCTGTTTTAAAGAAGTAGAAAATCAGTGTTCCTCCGAGAGTTGAATTCTTATGGAAAGTTGGGGAAGCTCCATTAGGCATCTCTAAATTCAGATAATTATGAATCTCATGCAAGATTGTCTCTTGCCCTGTGGTGCTTTAATACAAGACAGGGGAAAAAGAATTTGTCTTGGGAATGTCAATAATACCTCTTTAACAGAGAACTGCTGTTATTTATTCAGTCAACAAATTTGAATTCCTGCCCAACCACCTTGCCTGCCTTCTGAGAAACCTGTATGCAGGACAAGAACCACCCGTTAGTATTGGACGTAGAACAGTGGACTGGTTCAGAATCGGGAAAGTTAACTTCTGTTCAGTGTACATCACATGAAATGCCGGACTGGATGAATCACAAGGTGGAATCAGAATTGCTGGGAGAAATAACCAACAACCTCAGATATGCAGATGATACCACTTTAATGGCAGAAAGCGAAGAAAAACTAAAGAGCCTCTTGATGACGGTGAAAGAGGAGAGTGAAAAATTGGCTCAAAACTCAGCATTCAAAAAACTAAGGTCATGGCATCTGGTCCCATCACTTCATGGCAAATAGATGGGAAAACAGTGGAAACAGTGACAGACTTTATTTTCTTGGGCTCCAAATCACTGCAGGTGGTGACCGCAGCCATGAAATTAAAAGATGCTTGCTCCTTGCAAGAAAAGCTTTGACAAACCTGGACAGTGTATTAAAAAGCAGAGACATCACTTTACTGACAACGGTCCATATAGTCAAAGCTATGGTTTTTCCAGTAGTCATGTATGGACATAAGAGTTGGACCATAAAGAAGGCTGAACACTGAAGAACTGATGCTTTCGAATTGCGGTGCTGCAGAAGACTCTTGAGAACCCTTTGGACAGCAAGGAGATCAAACCAGTTATTTCTAAAGGAAATAAATCCTGAATATTCATTAGAAGGGCTGATGCTTGAAGCTGAAGCATAAATACTTGGGCCACCTGATGTGGAGAGTTAGTTCATTCGAAAAGACCCTGATGCTGGGAAAGATTGAGGGCAATAGGACAGCAGTGACAGCAGATAAGATGATTTGGATGGCATCCCTGACTCAGTGGACATGAGTTTGAGCAAGCTCCTGGAGACAGTGAAGGATTGGGGGGCCTGGCGTGCTGCAGTTCATGGGGTTACAGAAGGTCGGACATGACTCAGAGGCTGAACCACCACCACCTTGTGTAAGGAACTTTGCTCGACACTATCGATGATGCCTTAAGGAATATTTTAAGTAAAAGAACAACCAATCAAATCAGTGATTTAGAGAGGCCATCATTCAGGCAGTATTATATTTAATACAAATTGGAGGCATTGAGTTGAGCCTTTCTCATAGTTAAACCAGTGCAGCAGTAAGGGCCTAATTAAGACATAGGCATCAGAAATGGACTAGAAAGGAAAGAACAAATCTGAGACAGTATCCTAAATTTACTTCCTTTCTTCTAATTTGGTATTAATTGTCCTTTAAATCTGGCAGCTGGTGTTTCTGTCTGTCTCTCCCCCTCCCTCACTTGCTCCCTGGTCCCCTACTTCTCCACACTCCAGCACACCCAAAGGTTACTGCACCCCTCCATCAATAAAGGTAGGAGAGGGGGTGTATATCACAGTCAGCAGACACACGGTGTGTATCTGTGTCCATTTTTTTTAAAGGACTGAGTATCTCCTAAGGAGGTGTGTGCTTTCTCTCACCTCTTTTTGTGAATTATTACTTTAAATCAAAACTTTAGCCACTTGAACAGAGTAACAATTCCTGCTGTGCAAGTAGCTGATTTTTTTAAAAAGCATATTAAATGTGTTAACGTTACCCATGGAAGAAATGTTTTAATGTTTTGGGTCCATTTGATACAGTTTTGAAGGAAAAGTTTATCTACATCTTTGGTTTTTTTGGTTTAAAGGAAATGATACCAAGTTTATATTTGATCCTAACAAATCCTTCAGAAAATGGTCTTCCCTTTTCCATGGATGAAAATTAAAGCTGAATTCATGTATATATGAAATAAAATTTTAATTTTAATGTATAGGTTCCTCAAACTCCCTCATTCTTAAAAAGAATTCTTCTATGAAAGCAGAATTAATCACAAACATTTTGGAGGGGTGCACAATAAACAGACTGGTTATATAAAATCAGAAGAGCCGTAAAAAATGAAGAGAGACCACCACATATCACACATACAAATATTAATCCTTGAATATGCATATTCATCATAAGGCTGAGGCAAAAGCAAGTTTAAATCCACCTGTAGTTACCGTAATCTGAGTTCCATACTTTGAGAAAATGGTTTACCTTGGTTAGGCTGCGAAGGAGGAATAGCTGTTGGTCTAATGATGTTTTCTTATTCATATGGTCTGCAAAGGGAAGGATAAAGACGAGTTGGTTTAAGGAGTGGGTAATAAAAGAGATTTACAGAGTATTTTTATGATGGTGCAATAGTTTTGAGATTATTAAATGTCTCTTTTTCCTTGTTCCCAAGACCAGTGTGAGTGTTTATACTATACCCTTCTTCCAAAAAAGATTTGAATCACCAAGAGAGATTGGTTGGTTTCGTCTCAGTGCGACCTTTTATTTCTGTAAGGAATTAGATTAGATGGTTCCTTTGGCTTTGTGTTCATTCACTTTCAGTAACGTCTGTATATTTATAAAGTGATGTTTCTTTGACTGTTCCCCTCCCTTCCCATCTGCCTTAGAACCTCACTGCTTGCTTTTGAGTCGTGCCGCCTTCTGATCTCCTCTGAAGTCACTCAGTCATGTCCAATTCTGTGACCCCATGGACTGTAGGCTCGTCTGTCCATGGGATTTTCCAGGCAAGAATACTGGAATGGGTGCCATTCCCTTCTCCAGGGAATCTTCCCAATCCAGGGATCAAACCCAGGTCTCTTGCATTGCAGGCAGATTCTTTACCATTCTGCACCACTGATTGCCTTCTGCGGGATCCTTTAAAGCATGTTGTATTTGCTTTCTGATGTTCCAAGTATCTTTAAATTGTATGTCCAAATGTTGATTTTGTGGACTTTGTAAGCCAAGTAAATTTTTAAAAGTTCTTTGTAAGCTTAGGTTTCCATGTGGAACTTCTGATACAGTAGAATAATTCAATAAAAATTATGTTCCTGGGAATTCCTGGTGGTTTGGTGGTTAGGACTCACACCTGGGTTCGATCCCTGGTCAGAGAACTGAGATCCTGCAAGGCATGCAGCACAGCCAGAAAAAGCACATTACCTATTCTTCCTTGGTTTTCAGCCCAGCCATAGGACAGGTTAGGCCCACAGTGCTGACATGAAGTGAGAGCTCAGTGTTGTGCAGGTGCTGCCTAGCCAGTGAAATCTTCATCAAAGTGTACTTCTGCTGTGTGTTTTAAAACAGAATCTGGAGTTTAGCATAGTTTAAAGGCACCTTAGATACCATCTAATCTTACTCTTACACTTTATAGTTGAATATGCTAGTACCTGAGAAGTGTTTGCTTAAGATCACATAGTTGATTAACAATGGAAACAGGCTCAAGTCTAGAATTGGCTGGTAGCCCAGTTGCTTATATAGATACTCACCTCATACTGAATTATGTGGCTTGGTATGTCCTAACCATGAGATAGGAGGACCTTAGGCCACTGATTGAAGGCTGTGTGAGCTGATGTGAACAGTTTGTGCCTGAGACATTTGTCTGCAGTCTTTGGGCCACAGTTACACAGTTCTTCACTTACCATCCATGTGTCTCCTGACTCTGCAGGAAGCCCTCTTTTGCTTAATTTGAATAAAGGTATCGTTTAGACCTAATATTTTCCATTTTTTCAGTGGGAAGTAATGGCAGCCTGCTCTTCTGTTTCAGCTCAGACAGCTATGACTGCACCAAAGATGTGGAAGAAACCAAAAGAGCGGACGCGAGCCGCTGAGGAGTTGTTAGAGGCAGAATCGGAGGTAAGGGGCAGCCATAAACATCGTTAGCTCATCTTCAGAGCAGTGGTGCTGTTTTCTCAGAAAAGTGTGTGTTTATAACTTTTTCTTGAGATACTGCTTTCCAAGCAAATCTATCAAGCTCAAAGTCTGATTTTTTTTTAAATCCATTTAAAGAATTTTTTAAAGGTTGTTAGTAGTTTGTTTAACTTCGCTGAATTCTTGTTTCTTTTTTAAAATACCTCTTCTCAAATAGCAAAAATAAGTATTGTTAATTTTTCCTTTTTATTACCCCATGTAAAGACTAATCTCATTCTGTTTTAAAAAGTGTTTTGTTTTGTTTAGTTTTCAAATGCCTATTAGCTGTCCTGGTGGAAATCGTCAAGTGTATTTTAAGGAAACTGATTTTGAATCTGTTGTCCTTTACCTGCATCCCAGTAACAAGACTTTTCACATATGGTTTGAACTAAGGCATGGATTTTGCTGTAGGATACTGTACACCAAGTCCAGGACAAGATGTGAGGAAGAATCCAGGGCAGATTTCATCCTAAGCAGTGCTCTACCAATTTCATAGTCTCTAATTTCAATATGCCTATTGTTATATACTGAAGCTTTTAAAGAAGAGTAATATAAACAATTTCCATGTTTCTTTTTTTTTCTTTTTGAGTTCTTATATCTACTTTATTAAAATAATTTTCATTGAATGTTTAAGATGATAACATTAAAATGTAGAAATCATTTTTAAATAGCTTTAAGTGCATTTGTTTTATAAAACCTCTCTGTCTAGTTATAATTCTTACCCTCTCTCGGCTGCTCACAGTGCCCCTTTGTTCCTTCTCCCTGTCTCGTCCCTGCTCTTACATGACGCTCCGTTGATGTCACAGTTAGTCACATAGCAACCTCTAAAATGCTTGGGTGTGATTTCATTGTGGTTATCAGGGGATAGGAATTGGCAGTAAGTTATAGAGGTGCAAATAGTTATATACTCCTTTTGCAACTGAACAAGGAAATGTTGCTCCTACAAAGAATAAAATACCTTCGAGAGGCAGGGGAATCGCATACGTTCCTGGTATGGCTGTAAGAGCTTCACAAATGGGTTCATCTTTAGAGTCAGCTATAGTTTATTCACTTTCTTTTATTATACTTTATGTTCCTTTGCCCTGTGGTGTTTTTAGAAAGCATTATTGAATATTAAATGGGTAGGTCACCATTCCTGTGCTTCCAGATTTTCATCCTCTTCTTTAGGTCAGGGGTTGACAAACTTTTCCTTTTTAACAGTCCAGATAGTAACTAGTTCAGGCTTTGTGGCCTTAGGATCCCTGTGACAGTTCTTAGCTCTACCGCTATACCCCCAAAGCAACCATGGACAATGGGTAAATGAGTGAGTAGCTATATTTCAGTGAAAGTTTGTTGGTGAACATTGACATTTTAATTTTATATAATACTCATATTTCATAAAATATTCTTCTTTGAAATATTTTTCCAACGTCACAAGTGTACACAAACACATCTTGCGCACAGTACAAAAGCAGGTGAGGGGCCCGCTATTGGCCCACGGTCCATAATTTGCTGAACCTGCTTTAGATTATTATTCTTTGTGCACGAGAATTGTTTAGGCTCATTTTGAACCAGTCACTGGTTAGAAAGAAAACTAAAGATGTTTGGTTATTTGCACGCATACTTTTTCCAGAAATCTTAGTCCCTTGTCTTTCTAAAATTAAGAATTTACCAGAGTAGTTTAGTAAATATTGGTTGTCATTGTCTTCATTTTTCATTGATCATCATGCCATCTATATCATTGCAAGTATTTAATCAAATTCTTTAAATTACAGCCTAAAGAGATAGTGTGAAGGATGAATCATCGTAAAATTGTTATTCAAGACAACCAAAAATGTATTTAAAACTTTTTGGATATTTCATCCATCATTGTATTTGTAATTGTCAGTCTGATATTCTGGCACATAAAAAACTCTTGCATTCCCTGGTGGCTCAGAGGTTAAAGCGTCTGCTTGCAATGTGGGAGACCTGGGTTCTATCCATGGGTCAGGAAGATCCCCTGGAGAAGGAAATGGCATCCCAGTCCAGTATTCTTGCCTGGAGAATCCCATGGATGGAGAAGCCTGGCAGGCTACAGTCCACGGGGTTGCAAAGACATGACATAACTGAGCGACTTAACTAACTTTTGTTAACTAAACTCTTATTTAGTAAGTTCCTGTAATAATGTTTGCTTTGACAGTCTAGACAATAAAGTGCTTTCATTTTTCAATCTGGCTTTCTGGATAAACTATTTAAGAATGGTTAGATAATTATAAACTAGTTGAATAAAAATCCATCCTGCTAAAGGAAAAGTAATCATCAAATATTTAATGGAACTTTTTTTTTATGGATTCCCTTGAGAAATATCCCATCTAACAGTGTACCTCAGACACCTCATAGATTCTTTGTGTTCTGAAATACGGTTTGTCATTCATGGGTCAAATTTCTTTATACTTTTTTTTTTTCCAGTTAGAGATGGACTTTCTCAGTAGTGCATCCTTTGTTTATATCCAACAAATCATCTGTTGTTGTTGAGTTTAGGTACAGAGAAGGTGACTCAATAAACTTTTCTCTCTAAAATAGCATTTTTTCACCTTTCCAGTTCCTGAAATAAGAATTCTGTATGATTATAATGTGGTTATACTACTCTGTAATAAGTTTAAGAACTATTTGCAGACTCACATGCCAATTTATTAAAGATCTTGATGAAAGAAAGTGAAAGTACAAGTCACTCAGTCGTGTCCGACTCTTTGCAACCCTATAGACTATGTAGTCCTTGGAATTCTCCAGGCCAGAATACTAGATGGGTAGCCTTTCCCTTCTTCAGGGGCTCTTCCCAACCCAGGGATCAAACCCAGGTCTCCTGCATTGCAGGCAGATTCTTTACCAGCTGAGCCACAAGGGTATCCCAGGAATATTGGAGTGGGTAGCCTATCCCTTCTCCAGGAATCGAGCCAGGGTCTCCTGCATTGCAGGCGGATTCTTTACCAGTTGAGTTATAGGGAAGCCCAGGGTCTTGATGACCTATACTTAATCATAAGGTAGTATTACAGGGAAGTTTTGAGTTTAGATTATAGTATAGAATAAGAAAAAATGAGGCTTCTAATGTATGATTCAAACTTGGTAGGTCAGTTTTTTCTTAAAACATAAAAGATGCCTCACTTTCTGCCATGTTTTATAAAAATAGTGGTAAATCATTTTCAACATTTATTTTTGTTGAAATTTTTTATCTCTGTCTTCTGAAGATTTCCGTACTCGTCTTGTTGGAGGAAGGAGGAAGTATGTGTGTGGGAGTGTTTGCATGAACATTTTATTTCCATTTTAGAAAACACGGCCTTAAAACCATCTGTTTCTGTTGATAACGTTTTAAAATCTAGCGTCTTTTCCCCATGATCTGATTGTTTTGTTGTTCAGTTGCTGAGTCATGTCCAGCTTTTTGCAACCGCATGGACTGTAGCACTCCTGGTTTCCCTGTCCTTCACTATCTCCCAGGAGTTTGAGTCAGTGATGCCAACCCACCATCTCATTCTCTGTCACCCCCTTCCCTTCTTGTCCTCAATCTGCTGTTAGTAGAAGAAAATGTATTAGTATTATATATTTTTTAATATTTCACTTAATAACGAAGTACGGTTTGCAACTATTTAAAATTTTTTTTCATGAATCAGTTGGGGTAACTACTTCCTGGTGTATATGACATTTTTTTTACCGTCCTCTGTTCAGCCAATTGAGTAGAGCCTCTAATTTGGCTCCTAATGTGAATTTATCAACTGGAATTTGTAGTAAGTTCCTATTTCCTCTGAGTGCTTCTTTCAAAGGATTGTTTTCAGAGTGTTTCCTTTAATGAAAAAGAAAGACTTTAAAGTTCATTGAGAACTTTGCCTCAAGGAGTTTTGATGGTTGATATGGCCCTCAAGAAATACTTTGTTGTTGTTGTTGTATCTGAAACTGAGATGGTCAGAAATAATCTGGTGAATAAGTTTAATTCTATTTTGCCTTTTAAAAATAGGATGCACTGGAACCCAGATTTCTCCCTGGGAGAATATGTGCCAGTATGATTTGAATAAGGTCACAATCTCAGAGAATTCTAAGAACCAGTACACAAAATAGATTTTAATCAACAAGTGACCTCCTTGTTAAAGGAGTGATGGTCAGCTTTGTTGGAGTCAGACACTTTAAACTGTTCATTGAACTCTTTTTCCACAGCCAGAGGACAACACAAAACACACCCTCTAGCGTTTCTTTTTATATTTGCTGAGCGTTAGTGGCAAGGGTAGGAGTGCTTGATTTAGATTCTGGCTAGAACTCTTTCATGTCCATCAAGTTCCAGGGATTAACAGTTCTTTCCTTTTTAAACTTTGGTATATTTAGATTTCATTAGTCATGTTAAAGCATTTCAATAGCCGTTGGAATTGTCTGCTTTATCCCAGGAGCTGAAATGAGAAAAGTGTTTTAAATAAACTTATCATTCTAGTACAATAAGCTGAACACAGACATCCTTATCTTGAGTGATATGTTTTCTTATGCTTTTTTGAGGGGATAAGTGTGGGTCTTCATGTGTATTTACACACAGTGAAAAGAATATAACCTCTGTGTTCACTTATGCTTTAGCCTAAAGCTGAAGAGGAGCTTTCAGGAGACAAAATACTTGAATCTGAACAGGATAAAATGAGCCAAGGGTTTCATCCTGAAAGAGACCCCTCTGACCTGAAAAACGTGAAAACTGTGGAAGAAAATGGAGAGGAAGCTGAGCCTGTACGTAATGGTGCTGAGAGTGTTTCTGAGGGTGAAGGAATAGATGCTCATTCAGGCTCCACTGACAGTTCTGGTGAAGGGGTCACGTTCCCATTTAAATCAGGTAAGGTTTTCCTTGTCTTCCTGTGTCTGTTTTGTTCTCCTCTTCACTCTACTGCAACTTAGAGAAGTGTTACCTCCTCCTAAAGAAATATTGGATGGAAGGAAGAGGCTCATCACAGCGTAATATTTACAGAATAAATCGGCAGGCATGCTTGACTGACTGGCAAATCCAGAGAGCCCTTGATTGGCGGAAGTGACACCTGACGCTGGCTGGTACTCTGCTTTCACTGGCATTGAGAGAGCTGCTGGCAGAGGAAATCAGTCAGTGCTAGGCTGGTAAAATTTGACAAGAGAAATCTAATTTATTCATTTTAATTGAAAGAGATGTTTCAGATATGGTGACCACTTTCCTTGAGATAGTATACTTGTTGTTTCAGGAAGCTGGAACTAACTTTGTTGATGGAAATCACTCTGTAGAGCTGAACTCTAGTAGGCAGTCAGCATCAGTATACTAAGTTATTAAGCACCAGTGATGTGGAAGTGCCCTATAAGATATCTGATAAACTCTAGAGGATCTTTGACCTTTAGACACCATCAAACACACTAAACCTCTGTCCCTATGCTATGTAAACTCCGGTTGGCTTTCAGATTTACAGATAGTTTTTCCCTGGACATGTGGGGAAAGGTGGGGTTAGGCAAAATGGTTTTCTTAGTCCACCAAATCTAAAGAGACTTACGCGTGAAGTAGGGTTTGAATGTAAAACAGCAGGCCTCAAAAATAATCTTGACAAATATTCTTCACACTTCTGATTTTAACCCATTTAATCAGTTGTGAAATTATTTTAGTGAGTTATAACCAACATTGTTAAAAAAGAATATATAGAATACAAATTGTCAGTGTATTACATGCAGTAAGGAATGTATTGTTTGTTGGTTTTTTTTAACTTTAATTTATATATGTGTGTGTTCAGGGTCATGAAATCACTACATTTCTTACTGTGAGCTGTAGTCAGAAATTTTTGAAGGCCTTTGATTGATCCCATCTTAATATACTGAT